GACTAAGATGGGGTAGAGGTTCTGGTCCCCGGAAGGTGACCCGTACTCATGGCAATGGATGGTAAACTCAAGTCTGTGACATTATGCGTTTCAGAACCTCTTTGCTTTCTTTTTAAACTGGATTGCGGCAAAATCTATATGACACCAAGTTTCCATTTTAAGCACTTTTGCGTGTATTATTTATTTATCATTTACCATATTGAGCGGATACCAACACTTTCCTTCCCGAAGCTTTTCCATCCATCTAAAAAAGAACGAGAAACCTCATTGTTGGCGAGTTTGTTCTGATTCAAAGCGTCCCCATAGGATCCCCCAGCCTGTAATTGTTTCCCAAGCAGGTCTTCTCGCTCATGGAGCAACTGATGGACTTGAACCAGAGAGTTTTTGGTTAGCAGTCGAGTGCTTAACCACTGCTCCACCAGCCCACCCATCCACCACCCCTACTAAAAAAATAAAATAAAATAAAGTAAAAACTTGTTGCTGTGGAGTCAGTTCTGGGAGAGCACGCCTTTAACATCAACCCTGGAGTGCTCACTGTAAGGTCGGGGTTCAAACCCACCCGCTGCTCCTCAGAAACCTTATACACGGTCATTATGAGTCAGAACCGACTTGACAGCACTTAACAACATAAGACTGAGGGGATCTGTCCCATGGGGTTTCCAAAGCTGTCCATCTGCAAACTGTCATTGCCCAAAAAGACGCTGTGACCATGAAGGATGGTTTAGGGAGGCAGGAGGGGAACGTTGCTGCCTAGTAACTCTAGGCAGCAACATTCAGCTTTGAATGCAGAGCTTGCTGGTCAACCATCAGGGGACACCAGGAAGTGTCCTTGCATGGAGGTTGGTCCCAAAGGTGTAATACACAGGCCGAGCCAGGTGGGATGCATTCCCTGCTAAGCTGGACCTTGGAGCAGGAGTTTCTGCCATCTTGCTCCTGCCCCTACATCACTCATAGCAACACAATAGTGGTAACACACCTGGCCAGCTGCTGATCTGGTGGCTGGAAGAAAATCAAGGGATGCGGGGTGGGAGGAGGATAGATCACACTTGGACATTAAGAAATGGATCTAGTTTAGGGGAGACAAATCTGAGGACCTCTGTCACATGTCCCCGGTGTTCCTGTCTACTGTCTATTATGCATGTGGCAAAGGTGCTCAGGTGGTTCCTGCCTGCCCAACACTTGTGCTGGAGAAAGCTGTGGCCGTCTGCGTCCATAAAGATGGACAGTTTGTGCTACAGGGTCACTGTGATCAGAATCAGCTTGGCGGCCGTGGAATGGGCCAACCAGAAACAGGAGCCCTGGTGGATGGAGCACGTCTTCAGCGTCAGCTGCTAACCCAAAGGTCAGCACCTCCGAAGATGAGGCTTTCTGCACCTGCCCAGATTCATAGCCTCGGAAACCCCACAGGCTGGCTGAGTCGGGCTGGGCTCTGCCGCAGTGGGTTTGTTCCTAGAGCCAGTACCTTCCTGTTTTGCAGAATGGGAGACGGAGGCTTTGTACTCATCTCTGGTTACACCAACACTACCAGGACGGCAGCTTCACTTCCCTGGGGGCCCTGCAGGGCCTGTGAGCCGAGTGGGGCATGGACAGGGCCCCGTGTCCCTTCGAGCCTTGCTGTGAGCCCCTTTGAGTGTGTCCTGGCAGCCAGTGCTTTCCCTCTGGAATGTTCCACCCCCCACCCCCCAACCCCGGGGTAAAGAGGCCTGGAAACTTTTGTTCCATTGAGCTGAGCCAGGGAGCTATACTTAGGTACACCAGTGGAGGCCAGGAGCTCGTTCTTTGAGTATAGATAGTAACAAGTGGGCTATTTTCAAACATCCAGAGAACCCCCCAGAAGATTCTGGGCCAAATTGATATTTATAGATGGCTCTGGGCCCCTGGAAGCCAAGGTACTGCCTCAGCACCTCACGACTCTCAGCGGAGAATGCCACTGCCGGGGACATCGGCGATCTCGGCACACCTGTCCCTGTCCTCCTCACACCGTCCCCATGACTCCCTTCTTCAGTGCTCATCCTGTGAGTCAGAAATCAGTGGGGCTGGGTGGGGCCCTCTCCAGCTCAGCTCAGACCACAGCCATCTCAGAACTACCACGTGGGGAGCAGTCGGAGTCCCCAGCTCTGGAGACTTGATGGAAGGATCTTTGGAAACAGATGGTGGCGGCAGGACAGCAAACAGAGCACTGAATCCGCTCCCTTGAAAATGGTCAAACTATTGCAATCGATGTTACCAAACAAAACGGGTACGGGGGGGGGCTGAATGGGGGGCCAGTGCGTTCAGGAAACTGTCAGCCAAATCACAGCAGACAATAACAATATTTAAACAGCACCTCTCTCATTATGTCTGTTTTTTACCACAACATAAAAATAAAAAAGAGAGAGAAAAAATTGTTATAAAGGAACTTTCTGTAGCGAGAAAAGTGAAACGTGATGTGTGAAAGTTGGGACAGGAAAAGACGCATGTTGGTGGGAAACCCAAATCTTGGTCCTTGTCGAGGTAAGCTTCCACATTCAACTGAGGGTACAAATCGCCCAGGGACTCACAAACTGTCCCAGGTGCTGGTGACTTGAGCCACTGTCAGGGCAGAACTGGGCTTCCCCGGGTTTTCAGTGGCTGATTTTCTGGAAGCAGGTTTCCAGACCTTTCTTCCTAGGTACCTGGGGTGGACTCACACACACCTCCAGCGAGTCCATTAGCAGCTGAGCTAGTTGACTGTTTGGACCACCTGGGGGCTACGCTGGTTCCTGACAACCCCGCTTGCTCGTGATATCCAGGTTCATTGTAAAGATTGTCTTGGGTCCTTGAGGAGCAGATAGGGGTCTGTGAGGACTAAGGCAGGAATGAGCGCTAGACCAGGGTGGGAGACCTTGGGGTGGGAGACCTTCCCGCTCCCTGCCCACCAGCAATCTGGCAGGGTTGCCCTGTCCTCCTTGCCCCGTGCCCTCCACCAGCCCAGATATAAATATAAGAGCATTTTCCATGGTCTCTTACAAGAGGGAAAACATTCGGCTTTATTTTCGGCCTGTGAAATTCCCTTCCTTCTAGCCTGACAGATGCAATAGCCCCATTTAGCTACCAGGGCCCAGAAATAGAACACAATTTACAATATAGCTTCCTTTAGGCATCTGCTGCTAAAACACACATACACAAACGCACGCACCCTCCTGGCTGGAGGCTCTGCCGACAGCCCCTTCCCAGGCCAAGGGCCGCCAGCGAGGATAGGCCAGGGGTGGGAGATAGCTCAGGCAGAATGACCACTCTGTTCCCATTTCCCTGTCCAGGCCTCACCTTCACCCTGGACGATGGTGGCAGAGGGGAAGGAAGCCCAGCTTCCTGTTGGGGGTGGGGGTCCCCTGTAGGAGAGGTGACCCTAGGAAATCATTACTCTCTTGGTTCCTATGGGACAAAGATAAGGGGTCCCCTTCTGGAAACCTTCCTTAGCTGGGTGGACAACCCTAGCCTTCAGTCCACACTGACCCTTAAGGAGTGTCTGACCCCTGAGGGTGTGAGTTTGTGGATTGGAGCTGGAGGCTGTTCTGAGTAGCGCTGTAAGGTAAGCACTGGACTTCACGCTGTAAGGTTAGCGGTTTGAGCTCAGCAGTTGCTCCATGGGAGAAAGATGAGGATTTCTGCTCCCACAAAGAGTTACCTCTACGGGGTCACTAAGAGTCAGAACCAGCTCCATGGCACACAACTCTCAGTTCACAGAAGTCCAAGATCAAAATCTCTTCCCCAGGATGTCCCTGAGGCCCTTCAAACGACCGCCCCAGACCAGCCACCTGAACCCTTCAGATGCCTGAGATGGCTCTAGGGGTTCTGTCCAGGCAGGATGAGGGCGAACATTCTAGAACATTCTCTGGTGGGAAGTGCAGGCTCAGCAGGTCAGGTCGCTCGGGCCCACTTGGCCAGTGGCTCATTTCAAAGTGCCTGCCACATGTCCCTCGGCCACTGACCAGGCCAGCGTCCTGCAGAGCAGTTGTGTTTGAAGGTCCCTCCTTCATCGGTCCCACCTGACTCAAATAGGACCCTCATCCTGGGAGTTCTGGTCAGATCCAGGCCCCTAGGGAGGGACATGAGGTCACCCAGATGGGGGATGTGACACTTGAGGGAGGGTCCAGGGCAGGGCAGGTGTGTCAAGAATGCCAGTTCTAGGAGGGAAAGTGGGTGACCACTCAAATGACATCGATGACCAGCCCCTGACAAGATGGTGGCAATCAGGTAAAACACACACGGTATTCAACCCCTCAGGACAGAGCTGGACCCTCTTTTAAATGTGACGACTGTGTAAAAGAATCCAGCCCCATCTGCCCAGACCCCTGGACCCCTCGTAGGGTCACCTGAGGTCTCTCACTGGCCACATGCCCCTTCCCACCACTTCGCTCCACAGAAGTCCCCCTTTGCTTCCAGGGACTGCTGCCTACCTCCTCCAGGTTTCCCTCCCTGAACAGCCCCGCTCCAGCCCCATGCTCTGCCCCCTACCCGCAGACATGCTGCCTCAACAATCTGCCTCCACTGACACCTGGGGGTCAGGCAAGACCATGGACTTGTGGACAGACAACATCAACGTGGGTTCTTTATCAGCCAGTGGCCACTCTCCCTTCCGTTGGAACTACAGAGCCAGGTGTCCAGGGTACCACCCAGTGAGATTCCCCAAACACACCCCGTCCTCACTGGCTGGCTCCTGCTTTGTCTCAGGGAGGGTGGGGGCGCATATGTGGGTGCAGGCTGAGAGGGGACAGCCTGTTCCAACTCCCAACCACAGGAAGGTGGGCTGCACACCAGACAGCTCCCCAAACACCCAGTTAGTCAGTGCAAAGCAGGAAGAGCATCTCTCCCCAGGAAGCCACGCGGAGGCTCCTGTTTGCATGCAGGTGAGGCACCTCTCTCAGACTGTGTGGGCTAGGGAGTCATCTGAGCCCATCTGACTCAGCAGATCAGGTCCTGTCCCAACATGGGTCCCCAGATCGGTCCTCTTTGCTCCTCGGGCACTGACCAGCCAGCACTCAGGGGCCAGGGCAGCAGCCTGACTCCTCGTGGCGTGCCAGGAGGGACATCCGAGAGAAGGTCTTGGAACAACGCTTGCACTGGTACCTCTTGACGTCGGAGTGTGTCTGCAGGTGCGCCCGAAGGTTGGAGCGGTCGGCAAAGGCCCGGCTGCAGTGTGAACAGGTATAGGGCTTCTCACCTGGAAAGAGAGGCAGACTGCAGTGAGCCACAGCCTGGATGTTGTAAGTGCACACCGCAGGACACACACCAACGTACTTGTATGTTTAGCAACATGGACCACATTCTCATCCTTCTTTTCTCAGTCACTCCTCCCTCCTTCACAGAAACCCACTGCCCCAAGGTTCCTCGCTGACCTTTCCAGCCACTCTTGCCACTTTGATCCCTTATTTGTTGTTGTTAAGTGCCATGAAATTTGGTTTTGACTCATAGCGAGCGACCCTGGGTAGGGTTTCCAAGACTGTAAATCTTTGTAGGATCAGAGAGCCTCGGTTTCTCCCTGGAGAGGTTGGTGGGCTCAACTTGCGGACTTTGTGGTTTGAAGTCCAGAGCTCAGCCTACAGAGCCTTTGAGCTCTGTAGATCTACACAGATAGAGCTTAAAATCCCAGCACTCCAGGCAAACATTCTTGTCTCATTAAGTTAAACTGCTACTTGGTTTTAAGATGACTTCAGGGGGTGTTTAAATTTTAAGGTTTAAAGATTATGTCAAAGTAGAAGTTTCAGGACTTCACCCAGTCACTGTGGGTGGTCCCCAAAAGTCTAGATTCCACAACAATTCGGAATTCTGCTCTTACATTCCCCACCCCCTTGATCAGGACTGCTCCCTCCCTAAAAGGGGCACCTTAAAGACCCCACAAGGAAGAGCTGATACTGGATGCCATGAGGTGCCCGTTGGGCAGACTCTGTGCTACGAGGGAGCTGCAGAAAATCCATGGAACAATGAAATGAAAAGATAATGAACTTTCCCAAGAACATTTTGAAGCCCCCTCGTATTTAGAATCTGACAGAGAAGCAGAGGGCCCCTCACGACTGACTCCTGCCCAGACTCTCCTCGGGCCTTCTCCTCTGATCTGACATGAAAACTCACAGCCATCACTATCTTCTAACCAAGTCTCAGGATGGTGATGTGATACGGCGGCGTGGGTCCCATGGGATAGAGCCGGAAGACAGAGCAGGGAAGAGCATGGTTCTTCAGACCCAGCCAGGAAGACCGTGCTTATGGGAGAACAGAGCTCCTTAGCCTGGAATGGGGTGGCCTTGTTGAGGAAGCAGTAGGAATGGGTTCATGGTGATAGAAAATTTGGCAGTAGACAGGGGTGGGGAGCATAATTGTCATGAATTATTCATGTAAACGATGCTGAATTGGCAAATGCGGTCCTAAATGTGTTTTTGCTTTCCTTTTTGTTTGCCAACGGATTTTCCCGAGTGTTATGGAAGTAGATCGAGCAGCCAACTAACTCTGTAAAATGACCCACCACCTTGGACTTGATTCTACCCCATACCAACCCTACAGGACAGAGAAAAAGTGCTCTGTAGGTTTCCAAGGCTGTCAATCTGCACAGGCGGAGACTGCCTCACCGTTCTCCCACAACGGAGCAGCTGGTGGGTTTGAACTACCGACTTCAATGAGCAACCCAATGCTTAACCACTGTGCCACCAGGGATCCTTTGACGAACTGATGAAAAATAAAAGGTGCACTGATAACAGCCAGGGTAGGTAGTGTACACATCCCCAAGGTGGCTTCCAAACGTTCATGGGAGAATTCCAGGATATTTTCATTCAATGTCTACATGAACTTTCTGAAGCTCCCTCATACATTTTTTCCACGTTGATTAAAAACAAACATAAAAAAATCTCTGGCATCTTCCAAAGTTTCAGGCAGTGTGGGGTCGTGGTCACCAGGTGGGTGCTGTCCTCTACCTGTGGGCTCTGTGTCCAGCCTGCATCCCACAGAATCCTGACAGACATCTGACCGCAGTTGTGAAGGGACAAAGTGCTGTACCCCCGCTGACCAGCACGAGTGTACCCCAAACCCAGAGCATTGTACCCCACATGCACTGCCCGCACCACTGGTCAAGAGCATGGCTGAAGCATCCTTTAAAAAGGAATGGGGCATCCAACGACGTCCTTAACAACGACTGGAAAAAAACCCAGGAGATCCCTGGGAACTGGGGATTTCTCCTGCCAACAGCCTGACCCCTCTCCCAGTGACTCTGGGTAAGACACCACAGAGCCCTGACTTCAGGGTCAGGAGCCTCCTGGATCGCAAAAAGTATGTTGTAACTCTTGGGTCTGAGAGCAAGATGAAGCCTGAAGCCAGCTTCTCTCTTCCTGACTCGGATTTCGCCTGGTGTGGACCCCGACTGGGGTGGATTTGGGCTTGTCCATGAGCCGCCCAGGACGGAACATCCCTGCATTCTCAGTGAGCCCTCCCTTTCCTCTGCCTGTAGGTCTCTTTGCTCCTTTGTCATGACCCCTCGTGGCACAATGGTCAAGTGCTGACCTGCCATCCAAAAGTTTGGCGTTTCGAACTCACCTCAGGAGAAAGATTTACAATCTTGGAAGCAATAGGGGGCTGCTCCACCCTGCCTTATGGCGTCACTGAGCCGACACTAACTGGACAGCAGTGGTTTGGCCATTTCTCTCCCTGTCCCTCGCCAGCCAGGTGACCTCTCCCCAGCACTTCCTCCCTCCTGGCTCCAGCTTTGAGTTCTGATCATGCTGGGGTGCTGAGGGCAGATTCCGGGGTCCCGGACTACAGGGCTGGTTTCTGTGACCTCCCTCCCTCCTCTCTTAAAATGTCCTTGTGGCCAAATACATCAAAGTTTGGCGGTTGAGCCTCGTACAGAGCAGTGACGTTGAGAGCATTCACCACTCTGGGCAGCTGTCCACCTCCCCTCAAACAGACACCACTGTTGCCCCTTCAGCAACACACACACATAGCTCCTTCTAGACACTCCATCTGAGAGGGTCACACAGTCCTTGTCCTTTTCTGACTGGGACCGTCCACTCAGCATGGAGTTTTAGAGGCTCACCCCCATCGGTGCGTGCGTGGAATTTCTCTTTGCGGCCATGGTGTGGAGGGACCACGGTGTTGTTCTCCACTGGCCTCTGATGGGTCCCCGTTCCTCCCACACTCCCACCTCCTTCCCCAATCCCTGTCCTCTGCCCTACCTGCAGGGCCCCTACCTGTGTGGGTGCGGATGTGGCCCTGCAGCAGCCAGGGTCTGGAGAAGGCCTTGCCGCAGAGCGCGCAGACGCAGGGCAGCGTGTGGGTGCGCAGGTGCATCTTGAGAGCGCCCAGGCTGCCGTACTCTTTGGCGCAGTGCTTGCAGCTGAACAGACGCTTGGGCTGCAAGTCCGAGTGCACATGCTGATGCCTGGTCAGCCCAGCTCCGTTGTGACAGGGTTGGTGGCAGTGGAGGCACTCTAAGCAACCAGAGGGCCGGGAGGTCCCCACCACTCCACACAGTCTGTCTGGAACTTTGTCTCCACTTGGGCCCAGGATGGGGGGCCACCTCATGGGCAGGAACAGCAGTGGGGGCAGGTTGAGGTGGTTCAGGCTGTCCCTGAGAGGTGCGCTGGGGACTCGGCCAGCCCCCAGTTCCACAGGACTGACACCCAGGGGATGGGGACTCGAGGCCCCCCGCACTTCCTCATCACACGGGAGAGGCAGGGGGAGACAGGAGATGACAGGATTGTGGTCCCAGGGTCGGGGTGTGCCGACAAGCGTGGAGTGGGCCTCCTCATCCGGGAGGAAGGGCACCACCAGCCCCCCACAAGTGGAGCAGGAGCCCTTGGTTTCTAGATGGGGGTGGGGGAGAAAACACAGTGGTCAGAGCTGATTTATAACAGCCAGGGAACCTAGGACAGGGGTCTGGAGGGTGACAGAGAACTCAAAGGACAGTGGCTCGATTCTCCAACCAGCAGTCCTGGCAGCGCTGACCTCACCTCCGTCGTGGGAAAGGCAGCACTGAGTCAGCATCTTAATTGAACCGTAATTTAGGAGGCCTGGTATCAGGCCAGTATCTGTGAGCTAATAGCTAATTACCCTCATCATCCCACCTGCCCCAGGCTTACCCCAGAGAGGACCCCTCTGTGTCCTGCCCCCCACCCACTCCCCCACGAGCGGTGTGGAGCTGTGACTTCTTGTCACTGCTTCATGCGTCAAGATGGGCTTTCTTATAAACAAAGTCTGACTTGTTCCTGCACCCGGCTTTTCCTCAGGGTGGTTGTTGGGAATCTGTGGGCCAGTGTGCCCCATATTGGACCCGGAGAGCCCCACAGTACAAGGGCTAGTCTGAGGGTTAAGAGCTGACTACCGGATTTCCGCACAGTCCACATCTCAACAACACTCTCAGCCTATTTCTTAGTCTACGCGGCCTGGGATAAACCTTCAGCGTGCCCTGTAAAAGGCTGGTTGGTCAGATTTTATATCTATCTGTGGTAGAAAAAATAACCCAGAGACTGTATATGCAAATCATAGTTCTGCACAGGGACCTTTGTCCAGAATGAATGAAGAAATCTTACAACAACGAAAAGACAACTCATACAATTTAAAAAGGAGGCAAAGGAACGGAAGAAGGTGAGTAAGCTTGAACAACCATCTCCTCACCACGAGATCCGAAGAACTGATGGTATCTAGCTACCATCACCGAACACGTTGCTTACAGATTCCATAGAAGAAACCTGATCTAAAGGGGGAGAAATGGACTCATGGACGCCAGGCTTTCTGGAACCCTGTAAATGGGGTAAATTCCCAAGAACTACTATCCTGACATTATCGTAAAACCGTAAACCAAAAATGTCAACTCACTTAAGACTTCGTAAAACCAAATGATTAGCTTAATTAGTAAAGAATGTCTGCCTTGAGCAGAATGCGCTCTCGAGATCTATTTGTATGGGATCAGATGGGCAGCAGCAAGTCCAAATACTAGGAAGGAACCTTAGAGGGCAGGGAGTTTATGTGAATGAGGAAGGAGCAACTCAGAAAAAAGACAGTGAGAATGTTTACAGACGACAAAGGATGTGGTCAGTGTTGTGAAAGTGTACCCGTGGACGATTGAGTGTGTTTTTGTTGTGATTATTCGCAACAACAATAAACAGTGGGGAGGGGGGAGTAAGCAAAAGATGTGAATGAACATTTCTCCAAAGCAGATACAGAAGTGGCCAACAAGAACCCTGAAAAGATGTTCAACATCATTAGTCACCAAGAAAATACAAATCAAACCACAATGCAATGCTTCTTCGCAGCCACTTTGTTGTTGTTATGTGCCGTGGAGTCGGTTCCGACTCATAGCGACCCTGCACAGGGTTTCCGAGGCTGTAAATCTTTACGGGAGCAGAACGCCTCATCTTTCTCCCGCGGAACAGCTGGTAGTTTTGAACTGCTGACCATGAGATTAGCAGCCCGACTCGTAACCACTACGCTAAAATGCTGATAATAAGAAAAGTGGAAAACAGCAAGAGTTGGCACGGAGACAGAGAAATCCGAACCCTCACACACTATTGGCGGGAATGTAAAATGGTACAGCCACTTTGGAAACCAGTCTGGGAGCTCCTCAAAAAGTTAAGCACAGAATTATCATTTGCTGTTATTCTTAAATGCCATCGAATTGGTTCTGACTCAGTGACCCTGTGTAGGGTTTCTGAGGCGTGGCTGGTGGGTTTGAATCTTCAACCTTGCAATCAGCATTCCAGTGGTTATTCTACAATGCCCAGTAAGTCCACTCCGAGATCCTACCTAAGAGAAATAACACCAGATGCTCACACAGACACTAGTGCACGGATACCCGCAGCAGGAACATTCACATCGCTTAAAAAGTGAAGGCAACCTGAATGTCTGTCAGCAGACGATGGACCAACATCTACATGACGGAGCATGATCCAGCCACAAAAAGGAACAAGCCTCAAAACAGGCTACCACATGGATAAACCTGAAATATATGGTGCCAAATGAAAGAAACCAGATAAAAAGGACAAATCATGTATGATTTCATTGGTATAAAATATTCAGACTAGGTGAAACCAGAGGTAGGAAGCAGATGAGCATCTGCCAGAGATACAAATGGGGGCTGACTGCTGATGAGTAGGGCTTCCCGTGGGGGGGGGGGTTTGAAATGTTCTGGAATTAGACAGGGGTGAAGGCCGCACATGGAGCCCTGGTGACGCACTGTGTTAAGGCTTGAACGCAAACTGAAAGGTTCGTGATTCAAACCCACCAGCTGCTCCGAGGGCGAAAGATACAGCAGTCTGCTTGAGTACAGATTTACAGCCTAGGAAACCCTGTGGGGCGGGTCTGTTTGGTTCCAGAAGGTCACTGTGAGTCAGAATTGAGTTGATGGCAATGGAATTTTGGGGTGCTTGCTCAAGACTGTGACTGTCCTAAAAATCCTATGTAGCACATGACCCATGGAGACACTGTATGAGGCATGGATTATAGTCAATAAAGCTGGGCCAGTAGTGACAAGACAGGAGGCTGTGCACATTCTGTGTGGCAGACCCCACCTCACCCGTGCGCTTTGGGCTTTGGGACCTAGAGGTCTTTCTTTATGTCGCTGTTAAAACTCAGTACAGGGTTCAGTCACTAAACACTTCACCGGGTTGAAAGAAGGGCTTAGTATGCTTCTGGGAAACAGGGGAGCGGAGGGGTCCATGGAAAGGCTAACCTCTCGGTTGTTAATGGAAAGGTTGGTAGTTTCTATGCACCCAGCGGTGCCGTAGAAGGAAGACCTGGTGAACTACCTTGATGAAATCAAATACTGCCAACCGGATGAGGCACAGGTCTACTCTGACAAATGGGGTCAGCGTGAGTGTGACTCTGGTGTGAAGCTCAAAGGGGTCCTATTCAAGACCCCTGCAATGCTCAGGAGCCAGACTTACCCACCTGAGGAGTGAGGGACTCCCTGGACCTAAGGTTTTCTAGCTTGACCTTCCTTAGCTTTCTAGTTCCACATCATGGTGGAGAACCTCGATCTCACAGAGCTGGGCAGCGAGACTCCATTTTACCTGCTCTGCAGCTGCAGCTGTCAGCGCCAACTGTGGACAAGGACACGTCGGAATCCCCCCAACTCCCTCTCTTCCCGCCCCTCTTCATCTCTCACACCACTTTCTTCCGCACATGTTCTCTTTGCTTCCTCTTTTTGCTGACTGACGCTCCCCCTTTTCTGTTTCTCTTCTGTCTTCTGGGACCACTCTTGTTAAGTGTTATCAAGTCAGTTCCGACCCATAGCGACCCTGTATAGGGTTTCCAAGAAGCAACTGGTGAGCTTGAACCACCGACCTTGCAGTTTAAATGGCTATGCAGTCTGGTGCATTAACCCACAGCGCCACACCAGACCACTCTTACTGACCCAATAATCCGTGTCCTTAGTCAAAGCCTGTGGACCTTTCACCCCGGCTTACCCAGCATACGTTTCCTTCCAGGAAGTCATCTTCTTGGGGGGCTCTCCCCAACTCTGGCAGGAGAGCCAGCCCAGCAGGCCAGGGCCTTAGGGTTGGGGAAGGAGTCCTCCTGTGGCCCAGTAGGATGAGCACTGGACAGCAAGGCCAGTTTGAACTGCAAGGTCGGTGCTTCAAATCCACCAGCTGCGCCTTGGAAACCGTCTATAGGGTCGGAAGTGGCTCAGTGGCACTTAGCAACAATAAGGGAAGGAGGGGATCTGGGCAGGCTCTACTATGTGGCTGAGGGACCACCCAGCCGCCACCTACATCGTGGAAAGGACGGTGCATCGCCCTCTACTATCCCCTCTCTACCCAGTTCCAAAATCAGCAGGCCAGTTCCCATCTCCCAGAAGGGAGGTGGGTGGGTGGGTGACAGGATGAGATACAGACCCCTGGGGTTCACAGGAGCTTCCCATGCTAGACCCTTTTTCAGAACAAACGGCTTCAGCTTAGCAGCTGGAGGTACATGGCTGCTCCTCACTGAGTATCCCCACCCTGGCCCCATGCATCCAGCCCAGTCCAGTCTGCAGGGTCAGGGGCTGGCTCCAGAGATTGGGTGGGGTGAGGTAAGACAGCCACAGGGGGTGGGGGCTATGGAACCACCCAGAGGCTAATACTTTTTATTACCTTTCTCCCGTATCCACCGGGTTTTGCTGGCTTTTAAAATTCTTTCAGTATCTCAAAGGAGATTTTTCTAGACTCTGGTTTTAAGGGTTCCCTAGGTAAGGTTGGCGGTTCAAGCTCACCACTGCTCCTCGGAAACCCTATACAGGGTCGCTATGGATCGGAATCGACTCAACGGCACTTCACAGCGACAACATGCAGCCCTAAAGAGGTCCTTCTTTAAAGGACATGAAGTGCCAGGGAGTCGGTTCTGACTCATTTGAAACCCTATACAGGACTTCGGAGACTTGGAATCTTTTCAGGAGCTGAAAGCTATCCTGCAGAGCGGTTGACAGGCTTGAACCACAGACCTGGCGGTTCGCAGTCCAATGCTTATCATAGGGAGCCACTGAGCTCCCCTTAATGGGCAGAGTGGGAGACTATTCTGAAGTCTTCAGAAAGCCAAGTGGTTGGAGCCACCTCCAGGTAGGAAGGGAGCAGACAGCACCAGAAAAGACGTGCTGTGTTAGCCAGGTGTCTGCTGCCCTGGCAGGCACACAGCTTTGCACCTGACATGGTCAAGCGGGGTGCTCCGTGCAACCAGACTCTAAGCAATGGTTTTTAAATTATGGGCTATGAAACTTTAGGTTTCTATCAGGTGTGGATACACACTCACACCTGAACATGTGCGGGGCACTGACAGTCTCTCACAAAATTGCTGGTTGGGACTGGTGACATGGATTTCCACTTGACGGGCACGGCCCTCAAAGGTGCCTGTTGGTGGCAGCTTTGGTGAGTCCCCCTCTCCCCAGCAGCCCCCAGGCTTACAGGATGGTCAGGGCTTCCTGGGAGCGTTGGTTAGTGGCCTGGCCTCTGCCTCATAGCAACATTTCTTCTTCTGTTCCCTCTGAGGGCCCTGGCCCCAAGCAGTGCCAAGCTAGGTGGGGCCGTTCTGACGGCTCTGCACTTGGGCCCTTTGAGGGGACAGAATCCCTCTTGTTGTCACAGACCTCCTGTCCAGTAGGGACGGGGCTGAGTATAAAGTCAGGTTTACTGCGTCTCCCCTGCCCACCGGTTCTCATACCTCCTATACAAGCAGGGAGAGGGCTTCCCAGAGGAGGGGCAAGGAGGCAGGGGTCAGGATCCCTCCTCAGCTGACGTGGGGCTGGATGGACCTTTGCACCCAAAGGAGTCCATGGGGCCCTCTTTCCACCTCCTCTACCCACCAACCCAAGCAGGACTCTGGGGGAGTCCTCCAGGGGCCAGGCACTGTCCCACCATCCCCAGGACCAATCCTAAACCTTGTGAACCAGGAAAAAGGCTCTGGGGTTCCCTTAGTGGGACTACAGGGGTAGGGCAGGGTGGGAGGAGCTCCAAGATTTGGCGGTTTAGGCGAGTTCCCTAAGTGGTGAAGGAGCCCTACCTGTGCCAAGGTGCTAAGTGTGGTGAGGTGAGCCAGTGCCCGAGGGACACCTTGCCTGCCAGGATCCCTTTCGGCTCTCCCACTTGAGTCCTGTCCCTACCTCTCTGCGTCTCTAGCTGCCCGTAGTTGGGGATCTTGTGGCTTGAGTGTGTTTTCACCAAGAACGACCGCGGCATCTTCTCCCGTGTGGCGGGGCCGGGACGCCGTCTCACTCGTCCGTCGTCTGTGCGTCCGTCCGTCCCAACACCAGCGGGCGGAACCCGCGCCGAGTCAGGTGCGGGCAGGGTCAGGGTCATTAGCATAGCTCGCCGGCTCCGCCAACCAGGGACCCGCGCGGGCGGGGCGGTACCTCCGGCATGGGCGAGAAGGGCCAGGCTTATTAGCATGGCGCGGCGCTTCGGCCAACCATGGCCCGGTGCGGGCGTGGGCGGGGCCGGCGTGGGCGGGGCCTCGGCGTCACGCCCGAGACAGGTGCGGGGCCGCGTGGCAGCCGGTGCCCTCCCCACGGGACTTGCTGGCGCGGCCCGGGGGCCCACGCGCTGCGGACTGAAGGCGGACTTCAGGGCCAGGCGGCCCCGGGGCTGTGGACACTGAGCCTAGTACCTGTTTTGTAATCTAGGGGTGTACACAGGGCAGGGACCAGTCCTCCGAGTGCCCTCTCACTCAGGCCATTTACTGCCCAGTGTCCATCTGGGAATGTCAGCCGTGGGAGGTCTAAGCTGACTCAGGCAGACTGGGGGCAGCACCCTCGCGACAGGGGCCCTTTCGGGTAGGGTGCGTCCTGGACACAGCCTGAGATTCTGTAATCCCGAGGACGCAGAGGGGCTTTAGGGAAGTGCAGCGTGCAACAGCCCACGTCTGTAACCTGGGTGAGCCATGGACCTGCTTCTGGGGTCCCTGAGAATCGTCAGCAGAATAGAGAGCTGATTGGACAAAGTCATTTCTGGCCCGCAGGAGCAGAGGTTGATCCATGGCTGGGTGGCTGGTGGGCTTCACTTGGGGTGTTGCCGGCTGTGGGTTTGGGTCAGGGTGCACTTGGTGGAGATGGAGGTGACAGGATGTTGGTGAGACAGTGTGTGTGTGTGTGTGTGTGTGGCAAATGTCTTCTTTCCCTGCAGTGACAGGGCACGGATAGCTGGAGAGTGTAACCCCGAGTTTGCAGATGAGGAAAGTAAGGCTGAGAGAGGCTGGACTTCCAGACCCTTCTGGACAGAAAGCACTGGTCCCTGAAAGGGGCCATGGGCAGGTATCCCACACCTGGGCATGCCACATGACCCCGCCCTCCAAGCACTGACCACCAAGTGAGCCCTGTCGGGCAGAGGTTGGCCTGCTAGCCTTGGGGTGTGAAACAGGCCAGCAGTGGCGAGGTTCCCTAGCACTGAGGAGGGACCTCGTATACCTCCTGGTGGAAAGGGGCCATCTGCAGAGAGAAGCAGGAGAGAGGATGGCCCCCTTACATCTCTCAATCTGGTGACCCCAAATGAGCCCTTGATTTTAATATTTACAGAATGACACCACTGCTCAGGTTTAGCTATAGATGCTCTGAAACATTTTATTTAAATTTTTTTTTTTAAAGACAGCAATAATTATGCCATGAAACACGTGCTTTCTGGCTCCAAGCCTCTGCACTCTGCCCCTCTGGTCACAGAACCCTGGGCTGGGCTGTCCTGCGTCCTTGAAGCCTTGTCCCTTCTGTAGCCCTGATGACCACCAGCAGGTAGGCTGAGGCTCATTGTTGAGAGATAAACCGTGACGGCGTCTTCTGGGGACAGAGTGGAGCCCCTGCCTAGCTGGCTTCCAGCTCCTGATGGTCTCCGCTTCCCCAGATCCCACGTGATACTTATTTTTTATAAAAAATATAATCTTGTAAATGCTCCATAAAAATACTATTATTCCTAGTCAAACACAGATATTACAATATGAAGAGTAACTGCATTTTCTCTGCTCTATAAAATGTGAAAAGATTATCACACCAGATAGTATAGAAAAAAGCCAGAATTTCTAGGTATCACAAAAGCCGGTACCAAATGAGCAGGTGCAGGTGGGCGGGGTCAGCAGCAGGACCTAGGGGCACGCAAAGTCCTCTTGGCTTTCAATGCCACCTGCTCGGGGCTCCCAGGCTGCCCTGCCTGACCACACCACACTGCGAGGGTGCTCCTCAGACCCGTCCCCTCATTCGGGCCTTCCACTGGCCACACAGGCCCTGTGGGAGCTGGGGCCGGGGCCGGCTGAGCAGCCATCTTGGGGCAGGACCAAGCCCTCAGTTCTCAGAGAGAGACAGCGCCAGGGCAGCCTGGAAGGCAGCTTCCTCGTCGATGCTGTAGTCCTGGGAGACAGGGACTGTTACCCCAAGCGGCCAGTCCTGCCCACGGCCCCTTGAAGGTACGTGAGCCAAAGTAAGACAGTCCCTAGAACTCTCATCTTCAAAGGCCCTACCCCCACCCCACCCTACCCCACGTGGATCCCTGTGGTCACTTCTCCCCAGAATGGCTATGGGTACCCATGGTGGTCTTTCCAAGGGCAGGGGTCACAGAACAAAGGGCCAAACAGGACACCCAGGGCCTCTGCTCAGTGGGGCCCCAGGCACCTGGGCTGTTTCCAGCTCCCAGGCTCCCTCTGGTGGCCCCTTGGACTTAGCACCCTCAAAGCCCGAACTGCCGGCCATGAGGGACCCTAAAGCTGCTTCAGAGCAAGAAAAGGGGCAGGCACTGAGGGGCAACAGCCGGCAAGTGAGGAGGGGCTGTGTGGGCGAGGGCCAGGGCCCCGTAGGGGAGGGCAGGGCCGAGGGAGCAGGGACAGGGTCACCTACCACGAAGGTGTCATAGGAGAATTTGTGCCTGTGTAGGAGATGCTGCAGGAAGTTGGCGCTCTTGTAGCTGGGGTCCCCCCAGGGCATGGCCGAGCAGATGGGGCAGACCTGGACAGAGGACTGCATGTGAGGAGGGCAGGTGCGCAGCTGGTGGAGACAGCTTCAGGCAGGAGCTTTGGGGCCTGGCCGGACACTCGCTCGGGGCGGGTGCTTACCACACGGTTGGGGTCGCTGCGGTGACTCTCCACGCAGTGCTTCACCAACTCCTGCTGGTCTAGGTTGCGGGCGCCACAGTAGGGGCAGGTGAAGGTAGACCTGTTGGGGATGTTGCTGGGGGCAGGGTGGGTGGGAGTGAGCCTCTGTGGTCAGTCGTGGGGTCTGACAGAGCCAGGCTCAAAGACCCGTTCCCCCCGAGGGAAGGGGTCTGCCTGGGCACCTTTGTTCTGCCCTTGGTGGTGGGGAGGCCAACATTCTACAGGGTATCCTGTCCTGTGGGTGTCCTGGTCAGCTCAGGGGCTCCAAATACCATCCCCACAGGTAAAGTGGGAGCCAGGCCACCAGTCACCTACCTGGGGATAGGCTGGGATGTGGGCACCACAGGGACGAACTTGGGGCAGTTGGCCATCTGCTCCTGGACCTTCACACAGGACGAGACGTGCACTCGCATCTTGGCCAGAGCCACCTAGGGCAGGAAGATGGTGGACCTTGGGCTCAGTGGTGGGACGGAGCCCCAGACAGCAGCTTCTCAAGAAGGGGCTCCAGGCACCCCGTCACTGGCTCTCCCACTGGAGACACAGAGCCAGGGATGACCCAGACTGCAAATGGGAGGCTCTGCTCCCTATGTCCCCGCTGGTGGGCCAAAGCTGGGGTGCAGAAAGAGGGGACGCTGCCCACTTGCCTCCCCACTGCCCACGGGGTCTGAGATGCATAGACCAGCTAGAATGACTGTGGCGGGGGTGGGATGGGGGGTGGGGTGCTCTGAGGAAACTGGGAAAGGAGACTGGCTCAATGGCAGGAAGGCAGCGGGGTGACGGGGTGCGCACACAGCTGACCCTCCTCCTGCCCTGTGGCCATGGCAGGAAGTGTGCACCGTGTGGGGTGCCCGTGTAAAGCAGAAACAACTGAAGGTTGTTCAACAGGAAGTTAAGCAGCTCTGTCCTTGTGTTCTGGGGCGCAGGCAGGGGTGGGGGGATGGGTACCTTTTTGTTGCAGCCTCGGCAGGGTGCCTTGTAGGATGAGAGCTGCTTTTCCACATGAGCGGCCTTATCCACCTTCTTGGGGTCGAAGGGCAGGCGGCAGAGGGGGCAGAGGGGGGACGGCACCTGGAGACACGGCTGGAGACACTCCCCACAGAACCTGAGGGGGGACAGGACTAAGCACAAGTTGGCCGCCCCTCCACACATGCCCAACTCATAAAGGGTCCATCAGAGGGTCCCTTCTGGGTCACTGTGGGGTGTCCACCTGGGGCTGACAGGGCTCAGGGGACACCTGGGAGAATCTCCAAGTGCAGCCTGCAGCCACAGGCTTAGGGTCCCTCCGGTCTGGTGCCGATGGCTGTGATGCCACGCTAAGAAATGTACTTTGTGGAGGGCAATGACTTAGAGTCCAAGGGAAGCCCATTCTGAAGGGCACGTGGGGGTCTGCAAGCCGTTCTGTGTGAGCATGGGCCGTGGACTCCGAGGACTGCGAGGGGACACGGGAAGCCACAGAGACAACGGGCGGGGGAGTGGGAAGCCTCGGAGGGGTGCTGTCAACAGTAAAAGGAAGAGAGGTTTCCTGTGTCCTCCTGTCCTCGGTGCTACCAAAACCACACCGTGAACAAAGACCTGTTTGAGGACGAGGCGCTTCAGATCTGTGCACCCAGGGCACCGCATACTCAGGCTGCGATCATGGTGCTAAGGACACCCCCTTAACTCCACCATCTATGGTGGAGACCCTTTCTAAAACCAGTGCCAGGACCGAGTGGATGGAGAAAGTGCCCTGCTTGCTCCAAGGCGGTCCCTGCACTGTGTAACTAGAAGTAGCATGGCAGCTGGGGAGCAGCCCCCTCACTGGATTTATCGGCTAGAGGTGTGGGCAGGCGTCTGCGCTACATGACACTGCGGGAAGGGGCACGCTGGCAGGTGCATCCAGACGACAAGACTTGAGGCACACACCCACTCCCAGCAACAGCCCCCTCTCTCGAGCCTTTGTTTGCAAACCCCACCTCTTAGCAGGGGACCGGTTCTGGGCCCTCGCAGCTTGCTGTTAAGTGCCTTGGAGTTTTATCTCAAAGCGCCCCTGCAGTGGACTCCCAAAGAGCGGCTGGTAGGTCTGAACTGCCAATCTTGCGGTTGGCAGTCCAGTGCTTATCCGACAGCGCCACACCAGAACTGTATTACTCAGTCATTGGGGGGCGGCCCCGGGGCAGAACTGGAAGCCAGCAGCAAGCTGCAGGGCGTCGGTTCCCTGCGGGTGAGCGTGTCTGGCTGATCACTGGGAGATCAGATCTCCGCTGAACTGTACCAAACTCCAAACCAACCCCTCTCCTAACTCTGGGCAACTCCACCCCGCGGGAGTCAGCAGGCCTGAAAACGAGCTGACAGCAAAAGCCACGAGACATTTATTGACAGCGGCCGCCCCCTCGGCACCGCGCGGGCCGAGAGGAAGGCGATGGGCGCAGCGGTGCAGGCCGGCCCCCCGGCCCCAGCGCCCCCGTGTGCCCGGGCGGGCAGGGGCGGCGCTGCGCAGGAGAGCCTCCGCGTCCCCCGAGTGCTCCGCGCGGGGCTCCGCCGGGCCTCGCGGCCCCGCACCTCCCCGAGATCGGCGCACTCACGTGTGGCCGCAGCTGCCGATGGCCACCGGCCGGTAGTAGACCTCCAGGCAGATGGGGCAGCTGTACTGCGCCTCCAGGCCGCTGTCGCCGCCCGCGGGCCCGGCCGGCGGCTGCCGTTGCTGAGCCGAGGCCACTAGGCTGCGGAACATCGCCATCCCGGGGGCCAGGCCCGCCACTGCCGTCGCCCGCCCCCCACCTGGATGGTATCCTATTCCTCCACCTTACTGGCACCCTCCTCCCACACCTGCCTGGCGTCCCCCCCCCCCACCGTCCCGGCCTGGCCCGGCCCGGCCCGGTCCGACCTGAGCGTCACGGCCGCGACGGCGCTGTACGACGTCATTGGAATGCGCCCGTCGGTCCGCTACGGCCCGGAAGGCGCCGCGTTTTGTCATTTCAGTGCGCCTGTCGCCGTTACGCCGCCGCCCTCATCACAGCCATGTGTCAGGTGGGCGAGGACTACGGCGAGCAGGTGCCCGTGGGGCCACCGCCCCCGCCGCCTCCGCGGACTGGGTAAGAGCTGGACAGCCGAGCCGCCTCTCCCCTGTCCGCCGCTTCCATTCGGCCGCGCGGCGCGAGCTCCGACTCTCGTCTCCGGGCCGCCCTGCGAGCTGAGAGGTGATCGGTGTGCCCCAGGTCCTTCAGCTTTGCGTAAAGTGGGCCAAGCCTTGTGTGTCTGTGACCGCTCCCTCATCCGTGCTCTCCTCTCACCCAGCTGGGGGATGAGAAACCCACCGGCGGCGTGTAATCTGTGTTCTGACCCCTCTCCTGCCACCCCCAGCCTTCAGAGTCGTGAGCAGAAATGTGTGAAGTGCCAGGAGGGCGTGCCAGTGGTGGTGATCCGGGCGGGAGATGCCTTCTGCAGGTGAGGACCTGGCAGACATGGCGGCCGGCAGCTCTCCGCTGCGGGTCTGCGTCTGACGCCACTGCGCCCACCTGGGGACTTGGTACAGGTGGACGTGGTGTTTTCCTGCTTGACAAGATGCCATCAGTGGGCACGGGGTGTAGGAGGGTAGATATTTGGGGACGTGGGAACTGCACAGATCGGGCAGTGGTGGTGATCCGGGCGGGAGATGCCTTCTGCAGGTGAGGACCTGTCTCATCCGAGGAGGAGGTGGGCTGGGAGGAGGCTGCTGTCTTCTTCCCCAGGCCTGGGCGTGAGATGCCCCGTTGTCTCTGTCATGGCCCTGTCCCCGCCCCCTTGACTGAACTCTTCCAACACCTGCCTCCATTGACCCGGGGACATGACCATGACTCTGCCTCCCATTTTTGCCCCTCATGGCTTTGTAAACAGAGAAGGTTTGTGCTTGCTGCAGCCCAGGCCCCTCAGTGGGGGGGAGGGGGCGCATCCACCGCTGGGGTGAGCCCCTCCCTGCCTTGCTGGCCTCTGATGTTTGGGATTAAAGTTTCTGGTTTTCAGCAAATGTCCTCTCCCTGCTTCTTAAAGATAGGTCTTGTTAAGGAAGGACTAAACAAGTGTACCCTCAGATGTCCACCCTGCTGGCCACATGTGCTCAGACTTTCTGGGCCTGATTTGGAGGTGGGGGCACGGTGTGGTGGGACGGCCGAGGGGCCGAGTCTTCTGGCCACAGCCGGCAGGTGTGTGTTGCAGGGACTGCTTTAAGGCCTACTATGTCCACAAGTTCCGAGCTGTGCTAGGGAAGAACCGAATCATCTTTCCAGGTGAGAAGGTGAGTGTGGGCCCCAGAACCAGCAGCCACCTACACCTGTGCGTAACCGGGGAGAGCAGTGTCCCCAGTGGAGGTGTGTGCTCTCAGGCGCCCTCTCTTCCTAGGTCCTCCTGGCGTGGTCGGGCGGACTGTCGTCCAGCTCCATGCTCTGGCAAGTCCTGGAGGTTCGTCTCCACTCCCCTGCCTTTCCTCCCAGGCTAGGGTGCTGTGGGGTTGGGTTACAGGGTGGAGGGCCACCCTCTGGGCTGGCGCTATGGCTTCCTTGATTGCCCCCAAGGGTCCCTGGGAGTGTAAGGAGGTGCACAGCCGGAAGCTGTTCTGGTTGTCACCTGCCTGCCTACTCCCGTGTGTAGAGTACAGGTGTGTGACCTGGGCAGAGTGACTTGAAGTGTCACTGTGTGCTCTGGGGCCCCAGGTGTCAGACAGGTAGATGAGTGCAGGCACTTTTGGGTGCTCTGGGGACTTCCTGGAGAGAAAGCTGGGTTTGAAGGGCATCGCTGGGTGGGCAACCTGAGGCCCAGGTGGAACCTGGGAGCTGGTGGGGACATGTCCTGGGGCTCTGTGCTGCAGACCTGGGACACTTAGCTGTGCTGACCCTTCTGAGTCCCTTATTTCTCCTTGCAGGGCTTGAGTCGAAGCTCAGCCAAACAGCTGCGTTTCATGCCGGGGGTGGTCTACGTGGATGGTAGGTGTGGCTGGACTCTTCCCAAGTCTGGCCACTTGGGCCCATGGATCTGCCCTCTAGTGGACAAATCAAGTATTGTGGTCACTGCTCCCCCTAACAGGAACAGACCACACAGCTGTTTCCTGAGGGGCATCTGGCCCACATCTTTAGTAGGTAGGGGGTCCCAGTGGAGGGGAACTGGGCGCGGAGCTGGCCAGTGATGTACCTCTTCTCAAGCCATGATAAAAATGTGCTGCCAACTTTGAAAATGTTCACCAAAGGGAAGTGGGCTCATACCCACAGTTGGCACATCTCTTGTCCCTTGCGGACCCTCCTTGCACTGGGGTTGGCTCAGGGCTATGAGAGGGCCCCAGGACCCTGGAACGAGCTGGGTGCCCCTCCCTGAATCCTGCTGCCTGGCTCACAGAGGGAGCAGCTTGTGGCCGGAGCCCTGAGGATAGAGCAGAGACCTTGGCTGAGGTGCGGTCCATCCTGCAGTCTGCTGGGCTGCCGTGGTACAGCGTCTCCTTAGAGAAGGTGGGCATGTGTCCTCAATGGGGGCTGGAGGAAGGGGTGGTCCAGGAGTGTGGACACAACCTCATTTTCCTCTTGACCCTCAACTTGTGCCCATTTGGCCCAGTAGGTGTTCAGCCTGCCCCAGTCTGTGCTGCGGTACTTCTCCCAGGAGCCTGCTACAGGCAAAAGCACCTACAAGGAGGCTGTGGATGGCTTCATCCGACAACAGCAAGGGCTGGGGACCCAGGGGACAGAGGACAGTCCCAGCCCAAACCCTGGGGAGGAGCAGCTGAGCTGGCACGGCCCACAAGACGCCCAGAGCCTGGCAGAGCCACCCACAGCTGCCCAGACTGAGGCTGTGTCCAGACTCTTCCACTCAGTGAGGACGCTGACCGCCAAGGAAGAGCTTCTGCACACCTTCCGGTGAGCGGGCCCTGCACCCTATCCCCCTCCGGGCCCCCAGGGTCCCTCCCTGCCTCCACACAGGCTTCCAGATGCTCTGGCCTGCAGGACTCATCTGATTCTGCACGTGGCCCGCACCCACGGCTACTCCAAGGTGATGACAGGGGACAGCTGTACCCGCCTGGCCATCAAGCTCCTGACCAACCTGGCGCTGGGGCGAGGCGCTTTCCTGGCCTGGGACACAGTATGTAAGGCCAGACGGCCTCCTCCCTTTGCACCTCCTCCAGCTGGCAGGGAATGGGGGTGCTCAGAGGTCGTCCATCCTGCAGGGCTTCGCAGACGAGCGGCATGGGGACGTGGTGGTGGTGAGGCCTATGCGGGAGCACACCCTGAAGGAGGTTGCCTTCTACAACCACCTGTTTGCTGTCCCTACGGTGGTCACACCTACCCTAGACACTAAGGTGGGTGAGTGAGCTTGGGGCTGACCAGAGAGGCCAGACTGCAGAATCAGGGCAGCTGGCTGCTCCTTCAGCTTTCTCTTGGACAGCCCCAGCCTGGTGCTGCCCTCCTGGACCTGCCCCCAGCCCCCCTCTGGCTTCCCCTAGGCCCCCGAGAAAGCCAGCATCCACCGATTGATGGAGACCTTCGTTCTCCGCCTACAGGCCCAGTTCCCCTCCACTGTCAGCACCGTATACAGGTGGGAGGTTGGGGGCTGGAGAGGCACCTGCCTGGGGCTGGCCCCCACTGATGGTCACTGATGCCCTGGCTCTGCCTGACCACAGGACAAGCGAGAAACTGATCAAAGCCCCCCGGGCTGGCCGGGCAACCAGCCCCTCCCGTCCCCGATGCCTCCTCTGTCTCTGCACGCTGGATGTTGACAGCGAGGGTCTGCACCTGGGCCTGGGAAGTGGTGGGGGTTTAGGGATTTAAGGCATACCCTGGTCTCTGGGGACAGGTGAGCTTGGGTCTTGTTTTACCAGCCCCTGCTGTCCGAAGGCCCTCCCCACCCACCAGCCCTGTCTCTGCTTACAGATAGTGCCACGGCTTTTGGGGCCCAGACTACCATAGCCCCCTCCCGGAGGCAGCCCCCTACTCCACAAGCCCAGGCTGAAGAGCCCCCAGTGACTTGCTGCTCGCCAGGGTGTGGGGCTGGGTCCGCTGAGAGGTGAGTCACTGCCTGCACCGTGGTCGCTGCAACTGCATGGGTGGGCACCCCCAGCACACCCCCCGCCCTGTCTGCTTCCCCAGGGAGGACCTCCGAGCCTCTGTCATTGAGCAGTTGTGTTACGGCTGCCGTGTGAACACCAAGGACTTGGTGAGTGAGCCTCCCACGGAGCCCTTCCCCACCTGCGGCCAGACTGACTTCCTTGGGGTGAGGAAGGTGGCCCCCGCCTGGTCACGTGTCCCCTTTGTTGCAGCCCTCGTTGGAGCCCCTCCCGCCCTACGTCCTGACTGAGGCCCAGCTCCGCGGCCACAGGTACTCCGCAACCTCTCTGCAGGGGCAGCCCAGGGCTGGCTCCATCTGGGTCTAGCCCCATCCTGAGCGGGGATCCCTACAGGGCCCGGGTCACGCAGGAGATCCAGGAGTTCCTGATGGAGGACAGTGAGGACGAGGTGGACACAGCCTGAGCCGAGTTCCTGGGACATAGCTGCCCTCTCCAGCTGCCTGGCCGCAGCATAAAGGCAGCCACACTGGGCAGGAGCCCAGAGCAGCCGAGGCTACCCCCCCCACCGTGTAATCATTTGTATAAATAAAGGCATTTTTAATTAGAAAAGTCTACAGTACGCGTGGGGAAGAGATGCCCCTGGCCCTGTTGGGTGGTCGGGGTGAGACGCTCCCTTCTCTGGCAGCAGTGTTAGGGCTTGGGCGGGCTGGGGATGATGCGTCACAGCTGGTAGCCTTGGGCCCGGGAATGCCGTCTGTCCGCTTGTCCTCCTGTCCTCTCCGCCACGCAACCCCGGGGCTCCTTCATTTTCCGGGGCGCTGAGCAGCGCCTAGTCTTTGTCGCGGGTCCACTTGATCATGGTCTCTGGCGAGCGGTACAAGAAGATGAGCTTGGCGTACAGCTCCTCTTCCAGAGCCAGCTCTTGCGTCTCTCGCACCAGGAAGATGTCCTGGCAGAGCTTCAGGATGCGGTCCACGCAGGGCAGCTCCTCGAACATGATGGAGTGCGAGATCTCGCTGAAGAAGCCCCGTACGAACTTGCCGATGACCAGCACGATGGACACATAGAGGCCCATGATCCTGTGGGGGAGGAGCTGAGTCCTGGCTCCGGCCCCGCCCACCACTCCCGTCCGCCATCCCGCTGCTCCCCAGACTTACCCGTAGCCCGCCAAGAAGCCCAGGCTGGGCGGGCTGACCTTGTCGCTGAAGATGACCATGGGCAGCAGATTGCAGTCGGTGCGGCAGTCCTCCAGCTCCACCACCCACCACTCGAGGAAGCCGTCAGCCCCCGCGCCCATGCGTTCCCGGCGCAGCTGGATACGAACGTTCAGGTAATCTTCCTCCTCTTCTGCAGAGTGGATGGTGGTCAGGCCCCCTAGCCCCCAGGAGGCCCGCACTCACTGGGCTGTAGCTGCTTCACCGGGTTGGCCTCAGGCCCGTTGGGGGCACGGATGTACTTGGGGAACAGGTTGGGGATGACCCTGCAGGAAAGAGCTGGCAGCTCAGGCCCTGCCCTCCGCCATGCAGCCCTCCCTGAGGGCATACCCACTCACACGGACTGGTCCTCGGTGCCCTCGAGCAGGCTAGCCAGCATCCGCCGGGCGGTACTATTGGGAACCAGGCCTAGGGTGTGCTTCTCCGTGGTGTACTCCACGGTACCGCCCTTGGCCACATCCCTGTGGACGGGAACATCAGCATGGCCCCACCCACCCAGGCCCTGCCCCGGCCCCACCCAGCCCGCCCCGCCCACCTCTGAAAGTTCCAGGTGAGACGCAGGGTGATGTCCGAGGTGCCATTGTACAGCTCCCGCTTCATCTGGGCGCGGCTCGGCGGGCTGATGCGCCACAGCGCCCCAGAGCTACCCTCGATCTGGGCCGTGGCGATGTCCTCAGGGCTGTACTGACTGATGAACTGCATGGCCAGCTGGGGACAGGGCGGACACACCTCAGTAGGGTGGTCCGCTTAGCCCCTCCCGTCTGCCCCTGCCCACCAAGGCCCGGGTGGCACTCACTGGGTGAGGGTCAAACTGCTTGGACAGCTCCTCGTAGGCCTGGGCCGTGAAGGGTACTATACACGGCTGCTGAGCACTCATGGTGAATAGGGGCTGCACAGGGAGCAAGCGGTGATGCCAGGCTGCCCCCGCCCGGCTCCCCACCCCCAGCCAGGACCTCCCTGTGCACCTCATAGCCACCCAGCTTGAGGGTGACAGTGACATCGATGGGTTGGTTGACCACGCCGACCACTGAGCGCACCAGGGACATGAACAGCAGCGGGAACCAGATGATGGCAATGAGGAAGAGGATGATGAGACCACCCATGCCGTACTTGACGACCCTCTTCTTCTTCTGCCCCTTGGGCTGCGGGTATTTCTGTGGAGACAGGCTAACTTGGCCCCTCTTCTGTGGTCACACCAGGCCCTGACCCCTCCCTGCCACTCCCAGAGCCCCATTCTCCAAGCCCCTCTCTCAATCCTCAGGTGGCCAGGGTCTCTGGTTCACCCAGTGGCTGCACAATGTCCAGCATCAAAACTACAGCATTCCTATCAGTGAGTGTGGTGCATGTACAAGGACGGACAGACGGACATAAGCTCCCACCTCTGTGGTGCTTTAGGCAATAAGAGTGCAAGATCATTCTTCAGGGAAAGGGCAAGCTTTCAACAAATGGACCTCGACATGCAGGAGGATGAAGCTGGGCACCGACCTCACCCCACAGACAGTTCAAAATGGATCAGAGATCCAGAAGAGCTGGAACCATAAAACGCTTACAAGAAAATGGGTGACTCTAGGACCTTGAGTTAGGCAAAGGGTTCTTAGCTATAACACCAAAACCATAGGCCACTGCAGAAAAAACAGATAAACTGAACATCGTTCACCTTAAAGCTTGTGCCTCCAAGGACGCCATTAAGTGAAAAGTCATTCTACAGGAAGGGAGAACACTTCTGCAAATCTTTGATCCAGTAAGATTCTAATGTCCGGAATAAATAAGGAACTTTTGTGGCCCGTATAAGAGTAGCTTAGTTTTAAAAATGAGAAAAGCATGAACAGACATTTCTCCAAAGGAGACAGACTACGAACCAAACAAGTTCATGAAAAGACGCTGAATCACTGATCACCAGGAAATGTAATCCACACTACAATGACAACCACATCACACCCAGCGGGATGGTGAGAAATGTTGGTGAGGAGATGGAACCCTCCTACACTGCTCGAGGGCTGGGGGGATGTAAAATAGTGTAGCCACTCTGGAAAACAGTCTGGAAGCCCCTCAGAATGTTAGACAAGCTCACTGCCGTCGAGTCGCTTCTGACATGTAGCGACGCTTCTGACATGTAGCGACACTGTACAGCATAAGTCCCCCCATAGGGTTTCCAAGGCTGGGACCTTTACCGATGCAGACTGCCACGTTTTCCTTCCTCAGAGTGCCTGGGGGGTTTAAACCACGGACCTTAGTGTTTAGTAGGCAAGTGCTTAGCCACTGTACCACCAGGGCGCCTTACTATCAATGAATAGACCCCCAAATCCCATTGTTGTGGAGTAGAGTCTAACTCACAATGACCCAGTGGACAGGAGAACTCCCCTGTAAGTGTTTCCAAGTCTGTCATCTTTACAGACACAGACTGCCTCCTCTGTCTGCCATGAGAGGCTGGTGAGTGCGGTTAATGCGCTAGACTGCAAAGTCGGTGTGAACTGCAAGGTCAGCATTTCAAGCTCACCAGCCACTCCTTGGAAACCCTGTCCAAGGTCCCTATGAGCTGGAACCAACTCAATGGCACCCAACAACAAGCCAAGCACTTAACCACTGCTCCACCAGAGCTTCCCAAGAGTTACTGTGTGACTCCTATGTGTCTATCTATGCAAGAGAAATGAAAGCATGTCCACACAGAAATGTGCACACAAATGCTCACACAGAGTCCCTCACTAGAGTCAACATAGAAACAACCCAAATTCCATCAACTGAAATGAGTGGATTAAACCAATGTGGTCCGTCCGTACAATCAACCACAAAAGGGATGAACAACTGATCCCCGCTACAATACAGCTGAACCGTGAAAACAAAGGAAGCCTGGCACACATGACCACACACTGCGTGACACTCAGGAAACCATGAGAACAGGCAAATCCATGTGGATGGGGGATTCGCGGTGGGGGAGGGGGAGGGTTTTGCTTTGGGGGATTAGACTTCTGAACCTCGTGTGGTGATACGGGCACAGCTGGCTACAGTAAACACCTCTGGACTGTGTGCCTTCAATGGATGAGCTGTGTAAATTACAGCTAAAGGTGTTAAAGAATCTCAGTTTAACATCCTGCCATGGTGGCTAAGCTGGCCAGGACTTTGCGCCACTGAAATTCCCTGTGTCAAGGCTGAGTCCTTGAAGCCCCTTCTATGGAACCCCTTCTGGTCCCTGGGGCCCTCTTAGAAAGACCCCTCGTAGGCCCCCTGTGTTGTCCAGCTCTGGGAGGGCTGCCCGAGTACAGTGGCCATACCATCAAGGGCCTGGCGCCCACAGCAAGAAATGGACGAAGCCTAAGCCACCTTACCTTCTCAGTCTCCCGGCTGCACTTGATGATGAAGATGTTGGCATAGATGTCCTCCACGCACATCCAGTTGGACAAGGACAGCGTGGTATCCGTCCACACCCAGTCCATCACGGCCCGCAGCTCCACCAGGAATGGCACTAGACGGAACCTGCCCGCCACACAGGGACCTTCACTGGGGGGGCTGCACGAAGGGCGCCTGGGGCCTCCTCGCTGCCCGCGGACCCACACTCACCCTTGGAAGAGGAAGAGGTTGAGGTGGTTGTACTTCTTGGTGAGAAAGTTGCCCAGGATACGGGTGGGGTAGCCGCAGCGGATCTGGTAGGCAGACAGTGCGAAGTAGATGCACTTGACGAAGTACCACAGCTGAGCCACTGCATTCTGGCTGAACATCCTGCAGAGAGCACCCGGGCATGTCAGGGCGCCCATGAACCAGCCCCAGACCTCCCTGCCTGGGTGGGGATGCGCAGCCCACCTCTCGGTGACGGCGGGCAGGATGAAGAACATCCACAAGTGGACAGCCAGCACCAGTGCCACCTGGAAGGCCAGCTTGCCCAGCACAGTCTTGCGCAGGTAGAGTGCGCGGTCCACCACCATGGTGCTGAACTGGATCAACAACATCACCAAGAAGGCCTCTGGCACCTGGTCGTCTGACAGTGAGGACGTGATGTCTGTGGCCGCTGAGTGCTTCTGGGACCGGAGAAGGTGCGGGTCACTCCCTGGGGCCTGCTGGGCATCCCTGCAGGCCCCGAATAACCTGGGGGCTCTGGCTCACCCCAAAGGCCCAGAAGCCGAAGATGATGATGATGAAGTCAACAACGTCCGCCAGGAACATGAGTGCGTAGACGTCAGTGGCCGCGCGGTACTTGGTGTGCAGGATGTCATGGTAGAACTGCCGCAGTGGCTGGAACAGGCTCTGGGCCCTGCAGGCAGCAGGTGACAGTGGACTCAGGCTGACCCCCACCCCACAGGTGTCCTGCCCAGAGTTGCCCCTGAAGCTGCATCACTCACAGGGACAGGCAGAAGGTCTGAACCCGCAGCCCAGCTTTCTTCACCCTCTCCCGGGAGGGGCTCGGCCTCTTGGCTCTCCCGGTGGCTGCGGCCTCCTCCAAGTCCTCCTCTTCCCCAGCTTCTGTGGGGAGGAAGCTGCCGCTGACAGAGCCCCATGGCTGGGCCAGACTCACCCCAGACCCCGTGATGAACCTTGGGAAGTACCCGCCACAGCAGCCACAGGCTCCCTGAGAGGGTCTGAGCCCGTAGCTCCCACCTTAGCAGTTTCAGCTGTGAAATGGGCCACTACTGCCTCCAATACCTCCCAGAGACAGGACTGGGGGCAGGGGTGCGTGGTAAGGACAGTGGACCCCGGGTATGGTTGGTTAGGATGACAGTACCACCAGCTGCTGGTCTCTCCTTCCTCTTCCTGAAACGCAGGTGGAGACGCCTCGAGTGACGGCCCTTGGCTACCACTTCAGGCTCTAGGGCCTCAGACTCCACTCTGACTTCAACCTCACCGTCGTCCTCGAGTGGGGTCCCGGCTATCCCCGGCTCGAGCAGGACTTCCGACTCCTCCCTGACCTCCTTCTCACCACTGTGGTCAGGCTCCTTGGAGAGTGGACCCTCCTCATGGTCCCAGAGGCCATAGCACTGTCGGAGGAGAGGGCAAGGGGATGGGTGAGGGGAGGCCGGCTCCCCTGTGGACGACCCGAGGACAGCAGCGGCAGGGAGACCCACCAGCAGCTGGGACCGGTGGAAGAACAGCGCCATGAGCTGGAGCAGGTCGTACTTGAGGTAGTCATCGGACTTCTCCAGGCCCAGGATGCGTGGGGGGAAGTAGGGCTTGTTCTCGTGACGCCGCAGCACCGCATAGCTGTTCCAGGGGAAGAAGCCAAACTGGAACAGGTACTTGGTGACCACCATGACCTGCGGGCGGGTGGGCAGCGGCTGAGCATGCAGGGCACCATGCACGCCCACACCTCGCCCTGCTCTCCAGCAGTGCCCACCTCGGTGAAGATGATGGCGGTCATCCAGAAGCGCTTGCTGGGCCTGGGGATGGACAGCATGGCCCACAGGAAGACCAGCACAGGCAGCACCAGGGAGGTGGCCGAGGCGGTGACCATGTGGTTGAGTACGATGATGAAGTAGCAGAGTAGCTCCGAGTGGGCGGCCACGCACTGGTACCCGGCCAGGAGCAGCCGCAGCGCCCGACCCCGGCTGGCTGCAAACTGCTCAGCCTCCTCCAGCTCAGGGATGTGCAGACACCTGCAGGAGGACCAGAGGACGGGTGACCCGGGGCTGGCCAGGGCGAGCATCCCAGGTGGACCCCCCCCCCACAGCCCCCACACACACCTCTTCTGCAGCAGCTCGCTGGCTGTATGTGTCAGGTTGTATGCTCTGGCCGAGAGATCCCCGGGGCCTGTGGGGTCAGCCACGGCCTCTTGGCTGTTGCTGCGGGTGTTGTAGCCCGTGGTAAGGGGGCTGCTGGTGTCCTCGGGGGTGCTGCTCAGCGGTTCCTCAGCCCCGAACCCACTGTGGGCAGAGAGACTGGCATTACACAGGCTCAGGAGTAACAGAGGCAGAAAGGGGGCCCAGGGGTCAAGGTCTGGGGTCAGGTGTGACCCTCCTCCAGCCCCTATGCACCTGCCTTGACGCTGTGCTGGGGACCTCAGGGCCATCCTCGGAGCCCGGCAGGTCACCCTCGTCCTTGCTGGCATATAGCTGATTCAGGACACTCCAGCGCACCTTTCTACCCTGCAGGCAGGCACAGGCGGGTCACAGAGGGCCCTCACCTCACAGGGGCCCGGTGGGCCGGGTGGTGGGGGATATGCTCACCTGCAGCAGCTCCTGCGTGAAGAGGTAACGCTCGGCACGCAGCACGTCACTCATGGTGCGGTGGTAGTGCGTGAAGGCCTGCAGCCAGCGCGTCAACCCATCCACCAGTGCCTGACCTAGCACCCAGAGGAACTGCGCCGTGCTCACTACTCGCTGCATCACGTGGCTGCGGCCTGGGGGTGGGGGGGTGGGGGAGGCATGGGCAGATGCAGGTGAGGCTGCTTGCTCCCACCCCCCACCCCAGCCCACGGGACTCATGTACCTGCCACCTGGTCTTCCAGACCCTCTGTCGGCTCCACCTCCTGGCGGGGGTCTCCTCCTGGGCACAGACAAGGGTTAGGGCCTGGCTGCAAAAGCCCAGGGCTCAGGCCGGCCCACAGCCCACACTGACTCACCCACGGATGCCTGTTCTGCCTGTGCCTGCTCTTGTCGCCGCTGCCGAAGGACCATCTGGGCATTGGTCACCCACGCCTGGTACGCCATCTGAGGGCAGGGGTGAGGTCAGGATGTTGACTGAAGCCAGACCCCAGTCACTGCAGTCAGCTGACTGCTGGGCCCACTCAGCACAGGGCCCTGGCTTCTGGTGTGCCAGGCATTGTGCCCAGGTGTGAGAAGGGGGCTGGGGTGCCCACTGTCTCCTGGCACACCTATGTTCCGGGCCCTGCTCCCAGGTCCTCACCTGGAAGGCGCTCTGTGTCGAAGGCCGGGCTTCCTCAGGCTGCGTCTCCTCTTCCTCCTCGCTGTCGGAGTCGAACAGGAAGTAGTCCCCGGAATGGATGACTGCGGGACAGGGTGGGGTGAGGGTGCTGCTCCCGGGCAGGCAGACCCCTCCCACCTCAGGCTCCTCCCTGCAGGAGGACAGGCACATACCCCGGGCCTGCTGCAGGCACAAGACACGGCAGGGACAAGAGACGGGACGAGGATGGATGGATGAGAAAGCAATGGAGGGGTAGAACGCTCAGGGCTCCGGAGTCAGAGTTGGCTGGGGACACTGGCGTGACTCAGCACATCCCCAGACACCCCCGGCACAGGGGCTCCCAGGGAACACTGAGGGGCGGGGGCAGGGACAGGACATGTACCTGTGGCATGGTCCAGCCAGGGCCGCCACCACTCTCTCCGTGGCGGGGAGGCGCCCCCTGGACCGCTGGGCTCTGTGGAGGGGGCAGAATAGCAGGCGTGAATGGCGGTGAGCAGAGTAGCAAGTGACAAGTGGTCATAGGACCGACGTGGACACACACAGCACCCATGTGACGGGACGCAGACAAGCCAGGAGCCGGCACGTCGGGTAGAGATGCAGTGCTCCTGGGTACTGACCTGTGTCCCCAGGGTCCTCTGAGGGCTCCTGTCCTGTCCGGCTCTGCCGATGCTTCTCTTGCTTGGCTCGGATGCGCTCCATCCTAGGGAGGAGGGAGCGAGTGAGCCGGGACTGGCCCACCCACAGCACTGCCCACCAGAGGACCCGGGGCGAGGGGCTACCTACTGTCTCTTCAGCTGGGCCAAGGATTTCTCCTCAGCTGCGCGGTGGGCGCTGATGCTCTTGAGGCTGGCTGCATTGTACAGTGCAAAGCCCCTGCAGGGTTGGGTGAGAACAGGGCTCCATCCGCCTGCACTGGCCCCCCACCTCAGTGCTCCCCCAGCCCCAACCTTGGAGTCACCTGAGCCCCCCCCCTCATACCTGGGATGCCTCGGTCCCCTCTCTTCAGCAGCACCGCAGGACCTCAGGGTGCCCTCCCTCCACCCACATCTCTGCCCTCCCTCCCTCCCCCGCTGGAGATAGAGCATGAAGCCACTATGGTGGGATGTGGGGCGCCTGGGGGGTGTGGAGGTCAAGAGTTCAGCCAAATCCCCCCCACCAGGGATGCTGGAACACCGTGCTATGTCCAAGCTGCTGATGGGCTCCCGCTTCAACTCCAAGTGACCCACTGACACCAGGGAGGGACAAGCTCGGGGGGTACACTGGGCCCTGGGCCTCACCTGGAGGCCTGCAGGGCAGTGGCCTGGAGGTCAGCAGCCACGTGCAGGAAGTAGTAGCTGAGGAAGATGCGGCGCTGAAGCAGCAGAAAGAAGAAGCAGATGCCGTCCCAGATGACCCCGGCCTCTTCCACGGGCAGTACACAGTCCTGGTCCCGGCTGGCCATGGCTTTGGCTGTGGCCCAGACACCAAGTCAGGGTGTGTGTGTGTGTAGTGCATGCTGTACATGGACCTGCTGGGTGTACCTTTTCTGTGTGCAGCCCCCCACCTGACCACGTGTCCCCCGCAGCCCTGATGCACTCACGGTTGTAGTAGCCCTTGACGGTGCACACGAGGCTGAAGAGCTGGATGACCCAGCAGAAACTGCTCTGCATTTGCTCCACGAAGACACAGGACAGGAGCTGCGAGGACGAGGGGCGCTGGGGTGGGCCCGTGGGTGGGGGCCTGAGGGGTGGGGAGTGGGGGGGACCCGTGGGCTGTGAGGCCGGGCCGGGCTGCAGTGCTCACCGAGAGCATGTTCTTGGAGATGATGACAGTGACGTTGTAGAGAATGAGACAGTCCCATAGCACGAGACGGTCCTGCGTGTCCTTCTGCAGCAGGGCAGTGCCGAAGAGCAGCAGGTAGAAGCAGGCCAGCAGGTAGCCCAGGCCGAAGATGCTGATGCGAGTGGCCCCCGTGATGAAGACCACCACCAGCACCAACCAGAAGAGGTAGCGGAAGACAGCCACCTTCGCCAAGTCCAGGTAAGACCTGTGTTATGGGGGCAGGCATGTGAGTCTGTGTCACCCAGTCTCCCCCATGCCGACTTGCACCCCAGGCCCTCCTGGAAGGCCTACCTGCAGTGGATGAAGTTGGGCACAGGATTGGGCTCTCCTTGCAGCGGCTCCAGGTAGTCAGTGTTGGGCCCCGCCATGTTCCGCCACTCATCGGTGCGTTCGGCTATAAACACCTGCCACTGCTGGGAAGCGCAGAGCAGCAAGAAGGCATCATCTGTGGGCACACAGGGCACTGTCTTAGGAGCCCACTGCCCAGCATGCCCCCCGTACTGACCTGGAGGGGTGTGTGTGGGTGTGTGCAGAGAGCACATCCGCCTGTGTGACCTCGGGGGCTTCCGCACAGGACACACTTGTCTGTGTGCACCGTGTGTGTGTGTGTGTGTGTGTGTGTGTGTGTGTGTGTGTGCGTGCGCACCTGTGCCCCGGTACCCAGTGTGTGTTCACATTCCGTTTCCCGGAGCTGTGTCTAGGGAGCATGGGACTGGACCCACCGGGCTGTCGGGAGAGTGCGCCCTCCCACACAGCCAGGCCAGTCCATGGGACACTCACTGATGAGGTTGGTGGAATTGGGAGCCCTGAAGAAGTCAGGCAGGTATAACCACTTGATGAGCGCAGAGTTCATGGGGATGGCCCGGCTCCAGCGCCATGGGTAGTCTGCCGGGGTGAGGGGGCGTGGGGAGAGGCTGAGAGGAAGCAGGGCCCCAGTGCGCCACGAGGGACTGAGACACACTCACATGGTGCACACACATGCAACATGCCTCCACATACACCTCACACACAATAATCCCTACACACGTACAACTCACACAACCACCCCACACATGTGCAACTCATACACACACAACACGACTACACATACAACACACAGAGAACACACATCCACATACAACTCATACATACAACATGCCTACACACACAGCTCCTACACAACCCCTACACAGTACACACACATACAACTACACATAAAAAACACACATAGAACATGCCTATACATACAACTCACGCATAGAACACACATACATGCATGGCTCACACACAACCACCCCTACACACGTACAAGCCACACGCACAACTCACATACATACAACTCACACAACCACCCCACGCATGTACAACTCACACATAGAACACACACATAGAACACACCTACACACAACCACACACACACCATGTCTACACATACTGTGCACACACACAACACCCCTACACATGCAGCACATATACAACACGCCTACACATACAGCCCACACATGTACAACTCAAACCCACCCACTTGCATACACTCACACTCAGAGTCTACACACACAGACCCAGAAACACCACCACATTTGGAAGACACACAGTTCTCGAGCGTGTACTAGGCCCCAGGAGACACATATGGCAGCAGATGTTCAGGGCAGGTCTTTCTGAGAAGGCCGCCTCCCCACAGCCCAGAGCGCAGGTCCCTGGTACTAAACACACTGGGCACAGAAAGGAACCAGAGCCCCCAGAGGAAGTGGCTGATTTCAGGGTGGGATCGGAAGACCTTGTGAGGGCCAGAAAGCAAGTCTGTGCTCACAGAGGGAGGGGGACAGTGACACTCCCCCAGAGCTAGGGGGGCTACAGCAGGGGCAGGGGAGGGGATAGGAGGGCCAAGGTCCGCCCAGAGAGTTCCAGCTGGCCCTAAAAGTGCCCACAATCTCCACTACAGCCCCTTGTCCAGACTCCACCTCCCCCCCAGCTCACGGGCAGGCGGCACTTGGTCTCTTACTGCATTTGGAGCTACAGCGGCTCTAGTCTAGAACCCACAGAGCCACCCTGCTGCCCCTCAGCCAGGCACAGGCTGGACGGCTCACCTAGGCACAGAGCGGGTGGGATACCCAGACACAGCAGGTACTGATAGAGAAGGAAGAGTGTGAGGAAGAGGCAGTAGTTGGGCCAGAGCAGGGCAATGGCTTGTCGGTGGCGGCGAGTGAGGATAGCCACCAGCCAGCAGCCGTGAAAGATGACCATGAAGTTCATGCGTTGCCCAATAACGTTCACTGCCATCAGCAGGCAGATCTGGGGGTGGGAAGAGTGTGTGGTTGGGGGTAAGCCGCTTGCCTCCTGTGCCGGAGACTCAACCTCAAAGGCTCAGA